AAATTCTCGTACGAAAATCAAATGACTACAGCTTGAAACTTTTCCATTAAATTGTCATTGCAAACATGAAATAAGGTTAATAAATATGTTTGGGAGAAAATCAAGTACCAAAGTAAATGAAAAGAAAGCAAATGTGATGAGGGAGCAAGTGGGAACAACGCACATTAAATATGCAGATGACCAGTAATATTGAATGGCCAATCGAAGGACAATAAAAAGGTTGAGGGAAAATTAGAATAACCAATCAATGAATAGGAATAGCATTGAAATCAAAGTTGATGCTAGTTGGCAAAAGTGTTGAGTAAATAATAGACTTTTCTATAAAGTGATGTAGAGTGGTGTTACCATTAATGAACGCAACAACAGTGACGGAAAAGTCAGGAATACTGGCATGATGAGGGGCACACAAATACCCAGCGAAAGGAGATGCTATTTTCCTACAATGTACATACATGTAGGATGCCAAGACGATGTTCTATTTCAGCCATGTAAGTAAATAACAGAGTTTACAAATTACACAATAAATTAAATTAGAGGAGATGTTGGTGAATGACTGGAAAATGGTGACAAGGCCTTCAGGGCCAGTAGTTTTAAAATAATACAACAGATAAAATATGAGCAAACAAGAGTCAACAATTACGATAACAAGATGATGTACCCGGATGATAGTTGTCATCAACCTTGTCTACAAATCAGCATTTTTTCATATTTAAACATCTACAAAATTCAAAGATACTTCACAAATGCCATGGTCAGTCTTCTTGCCCACGTCTTTGTAACATCAAACCTTGACCACTATTAATGTAACAGTCTATTTTACAAGATCAACATAAAATATACTCCAGTGTGTTCAGAATACATCTGTCAGTCTCATCACTAATACTAGAAATATTAAAAACATCACATCTATTCTATACAACATTCACTGGATACCCACACCCAAGCATATTGACTTAAAAAATTACTTCTAATCATGTATAAGGCAGTTCATGGCCAAGCACATTTAGAAAGTCGTCTTATAGAAAACATGCTTTTCAGAATCTTGCATCAAAACTCTGGAACAATTTGACATGATGAGAAAGTGTGATTCGTTATCTGTATTTAAGAAGAAACTGAAGACTCATCTATTTCAACAAGTCATTGAAAATGACACAGTCTCCGTTAAATTTTTGAAAGTTCTCTTTGTGCTCGTCATATTAAAACGAAAGGGCTGTCGTGAGCGTGTCCTTGAAACTTGAGTTCCAAGTGGCGTATACAACAGATTGTTTATTTACATCAAAACACATGTTCCGTGTAGTAGTAATATGGCCAAAAATAAAAACAGCCGTTATTCGGCCATCTTTGATCTGATTATGAAACACACTGATATGTATGATGTATGTGCCAAATACAAATGAAAATGGTACATAAATTGTGGAAATATAGTAGTAAGGCCAAAAAGTCAGATGGCTATCAATCGACCATCCTTGACCGGATTTTGAAACAAATTGTCATGGACATGCATCCTAACATGTATAAAGTACATGTATGTGCCAAATTTGAATGAAAACTGACAGAGCACATCCAAGATACATTTTCAAAAAACAAGATGGCTGCCAGTCGGCCATTTTGAATCGAATCACTAAACCACTGCATGTGCATATGTTCCACTTAAGGTACTAGGTACATGCAAAGAATGAACGGAATCGGTCCACAGGATTCTGAAATATGACACTGTACAGACTGACACACGGATGGACTAACGGACAGACTCAGGAACTCACGGACGGTCGGGACATGTATCCTAAAATGTATGATCTATGTACTAAATTTGAATGAAAACTGACAAAGCATGTCCAAAATACAACATTTTCAAAAAACAAGATGGCTGCCAGTCAGCCATTTTAAATCGAATCGCTAAACCATTGCATGTGCATATGTCCCACATAAAGTACTAGGCACATGCAAAGAATGAACGGAATCAGTCCAAGGGATTCTGAGATATCACTCCGGACAACGCATGGACGCACGTCCGAACGGGGACTAAAAAGCTAACAACAACTATCATCAATAAGTTTTAATTATTTTATTTTATTTATTTATTTAATATTATCATTGTGAAGTGCCTCTGATCAGACTTTCGGAAAATATGGCACTATACAAGTTTCAAATAATTATAATAATTTGTAAAACAGTACATACTACATGGGCACAGGGGCGTTTGTACCTCACCTATAAAATGGGTGATGCTGAATATAGGATTAGTGAAAATTCTTGTAATCAAACAAGAAAGTGTGGTTAACCATGTGATTTAAAAACAAGCAGCCTATCGGCTGAGATAGCTCCGCTGTTAGCAATGCACATTTCAATTAAAGAACTGAAGACATCATTAGAAAATGAACAATATGAATAGTATCAAAGCAACCGGACTTACAGTTTTTAACAAGAAGTCGAAAATATCACTTTTTACCGAAAATTACAAAAATATTCACCAAAATAAATTAA